AAATAGGTGGCTTTTTCAAATGTTTATGCCTGATACTTTTCTTACAACCCAAAGCACTGGTTATAAGTTTCAGCCCTGTCTTTTCTATTCTTGTTTTTTCTAGTCATCTGCTCTAGCTTCTCTTTATTTTTTCCCAATATTTTTTTGTGTACCACTCTACTGATAATCAAGAATGTCTTATTTATAATACATTGAATCCAATTCCTCATTTCCTTAAAATTTACATGAGGAAAGGTTATGAAAAGGAAGTGAAATTTTTAAGTTCTGTTTATCAATACAATTCCTCACCTGTTTCTTAAACTCAGGGGTCGCAAATTAGTATTGATTACTCTAAAAGCAGATCTTTGGTACATAGTGGTGACAGCGGGCAGTCTGCAGACCTGTGGCAGTGTGGCAGGGTGGCAGAGCTGGAAACCACTGACTGGAGTCAGACCGATGAGGTGTGCACCCTTTGCTCTGTCTGCTAACTGTGTGACTTCGGGCAAGTTGCTTCTGTTCTCTGGGCCTCAGTTTCGTCCTTTTGGGAACGAGGGGGCTCAGTTTCTTTAGATGTAAAATGGAGATGTATCTAAAGTTATTGCAAGGATTACCTGAATTAATATAAGTAAAATATTGAGAACTCTGTGCTGTGTGTGGAACCTAGAAAGCTCTATGTAACATCAGCTGTTGTTTTCGTTTGTTGCTGATGTTGCTGTTACTTAGGAAAAAATTGCTTTCCTTATCACTGAGTTGTAAAAATGCTCTCTAAACAAGTATTATTTTAGCTCATCTTGATTCCAATGGTTAATTTAGCATGATATGTTTTTAGTGTTTCTGTGTATCATTTATTGATTGTTAAAATTTGCAATTAATTTACACCCAAGTCAAAGGAGTTTCTTTATGCCTCTTCTGTTTTAACCAGATGACACTAAAAAACAATCTAAATAAAGATGTCTTAAATATATTTCTTTGCTTTCAAGAGTCAAATGAGTAAAGTATTCAAAACTCAGTGTTTTCCTTGGGTTAGAATATTTTTGAAAACTTATTTAATTTTAAGGAAGTTGTTTATTTTTGTGTAAATAGAGGAAAAGGCAGGCACACCCGCTGGTATGTAGGTACATTCAGGTGTATTAAGTAGCCTGTCCCTTCCTCCCTCTAAAATGTACATACTGCCATCTGCTGGAAAGAGCTTTTGTACAACATTTAGACAGTATTTTTAGAAAAAAGTGTCAATTTTTTGAGGGGGGCAGTAAGTTAAATACATCTTTCAATTAACATTAAACAGATTTCAAGGATGAGTTTTGACATCTCTTTCAGGGAAAATTAAGATGGGCGCAGTTGTTTTTCTAGCTCTTTTCAGGTAGGTTATGAAAATACATCTGCAAACCTTTAAAACATTTTGCCTGGGTACATGGAAGAGCACTTAGGGCAGTCGTGTGGCCTGTTGCTTAATTTGAACAAACCTGTGATAGAGGCAGAGCAAGTCCAACTATAACTTGCCAAGGAGAGAATGGAGGCTCAAAGAGGTTAAATGAGTAACAGGTCACTCGGTTCATCAGTAGCATAGCTGGGACCAAAACCCAGGTCTTGGAATAACTAATCCTGAGGTGCTAATTATTTCTCCAGCTCCTACCATATCCACTATGTCTCAGAGTGTAAAAGCCTTGCATCTTCTTATTGATAAGGACTGACAAGGTGAAAAGCAGCCAAATCACTCAGGCCATTTTAAAAGTAAATCACATATAGGAAGCAACTTTTTAAACCTTGAAACGCAAAACAGTAAGTGCTATCCAGTACTTTGCATAATATAGACACCTAATATTTGTTGACTTGCCACATTGAAAGGATACTTTCTTCTGTGTATAAATATTACTGCCTTATATTTGATTATTTCCACCCATAAAATTTAGGTATCCCCTGTGACAGTCTCCTGAACGCGTGCCTACTCAGAACATTCCGTAACTAATTTCAGTTCTGTCAGAACCCTATTACCTACTTAGCTGGCCTGACAGTGACTTCTGTTAAGTGAAACTTTTCTTTTGGTGAAGGATACATTTTTAAGATTATTCCACCATTTATAATTTCATGAAGTAGTATTTTCATGAAGTGGATGCGGCGTATTTGTGGAACACCGCCAACATGCCAACATGACTTTTGTTCATTATACTTTCTTGGCACTGTGCTGATTTTAAACTTCACCAAGTACAGTGGAATTTACTAATTTAGGGGGATTAGATGTACATCATACTAACTCAGATATCACAAGGCATTTGCCATTATTACCAACATTTGTTAATTTTGTGATTCTGAGACTTTCTGTAGATTTTTCCTGTAACATTTAAACGCATAGCGGTTACTGCTGTTCTGCAGTGGAGGTCAGTCCTCCCTCCCTTCCGTCACCTCTGCTCCAGAAATTCCTTCATTTTGTTTAAACCTAACTATGTTTTTTTAGTTTTCAGTTGTATTGTTCTTCTGTTTTGTGTATTTACTGACATTGCTTTCAACCCTTTTTCTTAAAACATGGATTGCATTTACATTTCAGTTACATTAAGCTAAGTATGTGTTGAGTGAAGCCATGTTGCTAATTCAAAACAGCTGCTTTACAAAAGTCTCTTGGAATATCCGTGAGTTCCTGGATGAATATGTCAGTGACAGGCCTGGCTTTGGAGTTTTTACTTTTATTGGTCTATAATGTAGGGACTTCCTCATTAGATAATTAATCCAGAAAAAGAGGGGGCATTCAGTTTTCAGTAAGGCAATAGGAGGTGTGGAGACCAAAGAGGTCATAAGAAATCAGCCTTTTGCCCAGCATTCAGTTTTTCCTTATATCTACCTGAAATCCACCCCTTTAATAGTTTTCCCTCATGGTTTTTAGATTTGTTTTATGTAAATACACAGAATGAATCAAACCCCTTTTCCGATTGGCTGCTATTATGTCTCCTTTCTAGATTTTTCTTTCCTACTTCCAATACTTTAATGTCCTTCCCTCCCTCTCACTAAAAAAAATTTTTGAGCCATTTGTTTGCATGAGTTAAATACTTTCCTGCTTACCTAACCCCGTGAGATAGTGCTCTTATATCCATTGATTGAAGCTCAGAAAGTTGAAGAACACAAACAATGAGGGGTTGACCCAAGATGTCCCTGAAACTGTGTCTAGTGTCAGGCTCTTAGCTACTGTGTCTCCCTAGTCATTCTTTATGTGACACTTTCTCTAGGTTCCTTGCTCTTTGCCCTTCTTCAGATACATTTGTATTTATCAATATCTCTTACATGACAGCAGAGACAAAAGGAACTCAATACTTCAGGGGTACCCTGGCCAACACTGGGACAACGTGGGGACGAGCCACCTACCTCCACGCCTCATTGCACATTTTCTTTTTCACTCCTTCGCTTACCTTGAACAGGATTAATTTGGGTCTTACCATTCTATGCTTGTGTGTGTATTTGCAAGTGAATGTGCACATATGCATGCATTTTTCCACTTAAGTCCGCATCTTTTCTTGTTAAACTGCACTTCGTCGTTTTTAGTATACATGTACTTGGTTCATCAGATCTTTTTCCTCCATTTTAATTGTTCTTTTTTGTTTCATGTATGAATTCTCTAAGTATATTTTTAGTCTGCATTTAAGGCATTGTTTTTTTAGGGTGTTCTATGCAGCCACATTAGATTCTTGAAACATTTCAGTTTAGATTTCTTGGTCTGTAACTTGGTCAGTGTGTCATTTTACCATTTTATGAGTCATGAGTTTCTTTTCTTTTTCAGAGTATTCTGCCATTCTTGAGTTATATTTCTCTTCAAAGCCTCACTCTGAGATTATGCCTATCTCTCCCCTGTAGGTTTTTAATTGCACTTACTGTTCAGACCTCCTGGATTTAAGTAGAAGTGTAGTTATTGTGACAAATGTTGGGTTCCTGGGAAATGCTAACTTTGTAATCTAGCTTGATAACCTCATCTTTCCCATTCCTGCTGGCATTTGTGAACTCCCTAAGCATTCCTTACCACAGTAATTTTGCACTGGGTTCTGCAGAAAATACAGTGTCCACTTTGGATTCTTATCTGCCCATAACTTGCTGCGTTTTTGTATATCAGGTAACATCTACAGTGTTCATCTTCTTCATTTGTATGAAATTATTTTGAACTATGACCTCTGAGGTTGCTTAAATTCTAATATCTATGGTTTTACAGTATGCCACATCACTTACAGGAATTCCAAAGTAACTTTAAAAATGAAATAAAAGCAGTTACTCAGCTTTGCTTTGTTCAGCTCTACCCACAGCAGACATTCATCTGATATGCACTCGGACAAGCACGTTAGTAGTATAAATGTGGAAGGACTTCTATTCTGTAGGACTTCTAAATTATTAATGCCCCAGGTGCCCCACGCTGGGGGAGGGGGGAGGACACTGAGAGGGCCTCCTCCCTGACACTGGCTCTACTCCTGTGGGCCCCGCAACCAGAGGCACCACTCTCCCTGCTAGTGCATGGGTGCCCCAGCAGGCAAATGCCTACTCTCTGTCTCTGCGTGGTTGCTGCCACTCAGCTGCTAGACACTTCACCAGAGTCATGCTCTTGTGGTTTCCTTTGGTAAATGGTATATGTGGATTATAGTCCATGTTGATTATATCTACCCTAGTTTACTGAGGTCCTTTTCAAGCATATCCTCTATGTTCATGATGCTCTGGAGTCTACAAACTCACCATATCTTGCACCCACGTTTTTGTGTGCATTATGCATGGTATTATTATACCCATAGTATGTAATCATTATACTCATGTATAATGCACATCCTTATTTTTCCCTCAAAAATTTGTGCAAAACAGTGTGCATTGTACATAGCAAAATATCATGATTCATATATCTAAAAATTATGCCAAAGATACAGGTGATTTCATTTAAGAGTTCAGTTTAAACAAAAACTTAAATACTTGTGATTACATGGCAGCTGATCCCTTAATTATTAAGCATTTCACAAAATCCTTTGTGTTGCTTTTCTTTTAGTAATTATCTGCTTTGTTTCTAGGTGAATGAAATTTACCATGATGAGTCCCTCGGAGTACACATAAATGTGGCCCTCGTGCGCATGATCATGCTGGGTTATGCAAAGGTAAACTGTCCTAAAATATGTGAACCATGAACATGAAGGACTGGGTTAGCAAACAGAAGATTACATTGTTAAAGCTACAGCCAACATATGGCAGAGATAAGTCTCCCGTAAACCTCAGTTGCACTGAACTAGGAAGGAAAATGACCACAGTGAATGGAGATCTCCAAATATGAGCAGATGATGAACACTTTTTGTGCTGTACCACTCCCTGTGTTTGCCTCTCTCTAATGGAGTTGTGGACAGCTTCCCTGACATCAGGCATGCCAATGTGACTGAAAAAAAAAAAAAAAAGGATACGATTTCCATTGTGAGGAAAGAGAATTTCTGTAGTATCATCATTTTATCAAATTTATGCTTTATTCATTCAAAATATTTATATTGAGTGGGTGTTCAGGTGCTTTCTGGATGCTCTTAATGTATCAGTGAAGAAAAATAACAAAGATCCTTGCCCTCACATAATTTGTTAAAGATAATATTTTATGTGTATATCTTTCCACTTAAGAAAAATGAAGCACACAGTGAATATTTTCATTTTAAAGAGCTTTAGTTCTTTTAAAAATTAAAATTTGGGTCAAAATGCACATAGTAGGCATTTCATGCGATGTAACTAACTGTACTTAACTTTGAAATGGCACTAGGTATGTCCCTGTCCTTGGAAATAATGAAAAGGATGAAATGGTGTCTCCCTTGGGGGAGAAAACTTAGGGGAAGTGACAAACAACAATTTTCTTGATGTTTAAAATTATATGCCCCCTCTCAAAATTAAATTTTTCTGATTATGAAATAGTAATGAAATTATATATTTAGCAAATAGAAAAATCCATATGCTTACATTTCATTATGTATTTAACATCCATTTACTGTCTGATGAGAAGGTGTCATTGATCTTTATCCCATAAACCTGACCGACTGTGTCAGTAACACTGAATACAAGTCAATTCCAGCTGGCGATGTTAACAGCCTTCAATTGGTTGTTAAATCATTTGTTTTGGAGAAGTATGTGGTCAGCATATAGCAAAACAAGGTAATTTTGTTTCAAATGTAAACACTGATAAAAATATTTGCTGAAATATAATAAACCTCTCAGCCTGTCAGCCAAGTAGGGATGAATTTTGGGTTGCAAGTTCAAGGTCTCATTCCTCCAGAGCTACTCTGGGAAGTGTGGCCCCGGGGTTCTTAAAAGATGGGCCTTTTGCCTCTGAACTTTTGACTCCTGACCATAATGAGATAGTAACAACATTCGAATGAACTTCTCTCCATCTGTTTGACCTATAAGATAAGTGTAAACCCTTCTTCATTGCTGTGAGCTTAGAAAAGGGGAAGTTTTTACTTTCAGTGTGAGGTTTATAGAATTTGACCACTCCACATTAACTAAGATTTGACCGGCTTTGCCACTCATTAAAGAACTTACATTCTTCCTATATGTTGATTAATTCTGGACAAAAAAATAAACAACCTTAACTAAAGATCTTTCACTTTAACAGCTCTGAATAAAAGTCTTATGCCAGACTTTTTCCTTCTATTTTTATTCTCAATACCTATGAAACTAAAAATCTAAACTGCAGTAGGAAGTATTTAGACTATTAGAGTTCTTAACCAAATAAATAACGTCGAGGTGCCTCACAGCAGCAAATCTCAGTATCACCTATTCCCATATATGGGTCAGTCACCTTACGCACAGGTAATATAGGTAATCGTAAAGGATTCATGGATCTAAATATCTTCATGGATATTTAGAATTCCCAAACTAAAGTAGATATCTAAATAAGCCCCAAATAACATTATCGAATATTATTTAAATGCTGTAATCCCAAATGTTAACTTCGGCAAAAGATATGAAAGGAAGTCTCTGGGCAATGTGATGTGTGTCTTCAACATAATGTTCCCTCTCAGTCCATCAGCCTCATAGAGAGGGGAAACCCATCCAGGAGCTTGGAGAATGTGTGTCGCTGGGCTTGCCAACAACAAAAACCTGATCCCAACCATTCTGAACACCATGATCATGCAATTTTCTTAACCAGGCAAGACTTTGGACCTGCTGGAATGCAAGGTATTTCCATTAATATGGAGAAGAAAAGCTTAAGGGCATGACTTTTCAAATGTAATCCTAAATCAGGGAGTCTGTTCAAATGTTCACATCTCTTCCTCCACTTTCCAGCATGCATCAGCCAAGCATACATTTTCTTTCTATTGCTTCCAGTGACTTCTGTGGAATTCACAATGTTAAATGCTACTTCAATACTATAATAAATTACACTTGCCTTTAAAATAATGATTGTGCATTTGGGGTAAAGAGGGGTTGCTGTAAAATGCAGTGTGAGTCCCACTAAGTGTTTGGGATGGGAAAAGAGATGCCATAGAGCTGACCCAGTACTGCCAAGAGCTTTCTTCCAAAGTCAGCTTACATCTATCTAATAAATTCTGATGTCGGCTTTGGAGAAAGTAGACTGACGGTTTTCTTTTCAACGTTGATGGAATTTCTGGCTGCCTTCTTCGGTACCATGATATGAAGGACCATTCTCTACAACAGAAAGACAAGGCTTAGTTGGTGGGCAGACCAGAATGGTAACCCCGGGCAGTTCCTTCCCTTAAGAAATGAGAAAATGCAGACCCAATGAATCTTTTCAGAGACGATTACCTGTGGCTTTCCCAAGAGAATGTGGCACAATGCTAGCAGGGAAATAATACTGCCTCTGTTTCCTGAAAAGCTTTTCCGCCCCCTAGGCAAAGGTCCAGTAGTAATTCTTAATGGGTTTTCTCATAAAATGAAAATAAAAGTAATTGTTATTCTCTACAGGATATGCTCCAGTCACAGGCATGTGTCATCCGGTGAGAAGTTGTACCCTGAATCACGAGGACGGTTTCTCATCTGCTTTTGTAGTAGCCCATGAAACTGGCCATGTGTAAGTCACTGCTGACAGCTACAAAGCCAGAAAGAGGTCTTTTCTTTCCTGCTTCTCTCAGCATTGTTCGCGCTTTGGGCGCAGTGCATGCCTGCATGCAGCTCTTGTCCCTTGCCAAGTGAGAGGAGCTGAAAGCAGTGAAGAGGTCATGCACTGAAACCAAATAAGTGACTCCAGCTTGCAGAGACACCCTGCCATAAAATGCGAAAGGCCTTTCTGTCCAGCCGTTCTCTAGTTCAGTTCCTGTGACTCCTCCACAAAAGCCATGTTAACTTAAACAGTACGTATTTTCCTGTACAGTAAGTCCGTCCTTAACATTGTCGACATGTTCTGCAACTTTAAGCAACGCGACTTATAACAGAACCAATTTTACCATAGGCTAATTGATACAAACAGGAGTTAAGTTTCTACGGCATCTCATCCACATTCTAAGGAAACCACATTAAACACAATGACATAATTTGAGGGCCTACTGTATTTATTTTTAAAATAGAGATTAAGCAGATGCCCTGGGCCCTGTGATTCTCACCAGTGAGGTCTCCTTTGTGTTCCAGGCTGGGAATGGAGCATGACGGACAAGGCAACAGGTGCGGCGAGGAGACTGCTCTGGGAAGTGTCATGGCTCCCTTGGTGCAAGCGGCATTTCATCGCTACCACTGGTCCCGGTGCAGTGGCCAGGAATTGAAAAGATACATTCAGTATGTCACTTTCTGCGTGTCATGAGAGCATTTATATTGTAAAAGAAATACGGACGTAAAAATGACTCTTAGGTTCTTATTCATAGCAGAACTCCCAGTGAATGAAAACTGTTGTTTGCAATAAACATTTTCTCATGACCCAGAACCTCTGGCACAATGATTCCATAATATGATCACAATATTTTAAGTCATAAGCCTAGAACTTAAGTGATTTTTTTGACTATGATCTTTTTAAGTAAATTCTTCCTGGAATCTTTGATCAATGGTCAAATTTGAGTTGAGGATGAGGAAGAGATGGTCCTGTGATGCCTTCATCATGTACCAGCTACACCCAGTAGCAGAGGGGTCAGAATCTCTTCTGCCACACTAAGCAGAAGCCCAACATGGGACACTTTAGGAGGCTGTCACAGTTATATGCATCCCTAAGTTATGTTTGACTTTTTTCCTGGGATAAATAAGGGTGAAAGGTCTTTTTTTTTTTTTAAGTGGAACTAAAACCAAAAACCTTTAAAGATATGCTTTTGTGACCTTGCTCTGTGATCTAATGATATTTCAGAGAATATAACCTAAGGGTACATTTTTTTTTCCATTAGGACATAATAAAAGAAAGAAACATTTAATGACACACCATGTTTTCCTTCTACAGTTCCTATGACTGTCTTCTTGATGACCCTTTTGAACATGATTGGCCCAAACTCCCAGAACTTCCTGGAATCAATTATTCTATGGATGAGCAATGTCGTTTTGACTTCGGAGTTGGTTATAAAATGTGTACTGCGGTATGTTTCTCACAGTCAATGTAGATCTTGCATCTTGAAATCTATTTGCACAGCTCCCGTTTGGTGAGCTTTGCAGACTCGCTGGTGTGAGTGTGAGAATTTCGTCCAAGGATTTTGTGTTTGTTGTGTCACTGTGTTAAAACTAAATGCTTTATGTATACTGTCTTAATTAATCCTTGTGACAGACTGGATGGGAGTCGGTATACATGTATTTTACAGATAAAAAGCCAATATGTACAGAGATTAAGCCACTTGATTAAATTACACATCTGGTAAACAGAAGAACTGGACATTGAAACCAAGGTTGTCTGGCTCCAAAACGCCCTGTTGCTCCTTAGGTTTTTTTGACCTTTAAAGATGACTTTTAAGCCTTAGATAGGTTGCTTTTCATTAGCTTGTTGGCAAGGTTTCCACGTAGCTGTGACTACAAGGAAGGGCAGTGCTGGATTATGCTCATGGGAGGGTCACGGAAGAGCACGGGGTCAGGAATGTGGGCTTCGTAGTCAGGCTGGTGGGTCATGGGGGCCTTGACCCCACACTTGCCAGATGTATGATTTCAAGCACTTTCTTTAATCTCTCTGTCTCAGTTTCCTCATGTATAAACTGTGAATAATGATAGTGTTTACCTCATAGAAATAGTGTCAGGGTCCAATTTGATAATGTAACTGAAGTGCTTAGCACGACGCAGGCTCATAGTAAATTCTCAGTGGACTCCAGGAGAGCCAGCCGCCCATGTAGCTATTTAGATTAGAGGTATGTTTTATGAAGCTCTCATGTTGATATTTAGTAGTTCATAAAAAGGGAGGGGCTTTTTAAATGTTAGAGCAAACTTCATGTGTTAGAGCAAGAAAAATAAGCACTTCATGGTACAGAAAACAAGTGGATGTGCTGTTTGAAATCTTCCACGTGCAGACAGCTGCAGCCGTTTGGACTGTCTGTAAACCGTACATTGCAGCTCCTAATCACCTGCATTCATGTTTTGGCCTGAGAATTCTAAAGCTTGGGCTCAATGTGGTGGTAAAGTACAGTGTCTTAATTACATAATAGGAATTAGAACAAAAAACCCATGTCCAAAATGAGAATTAAGGAAGAGCTCTGACCACGGGCTGTATGTAATTGGTGGTGGAGGCAATGACGTGTGGGTCAAGTGGTGTTTGATAAGTTTTTAAAAATCTGTGTAAAGACTGGTAAGATGTTTACAGTGAGAAGGAAAGCAGACAAGTAAAGAACACACAGATATGTGTGCTGAGACCTTCATTTTAATATTGTCATATGGTATTTTAGGAAAATAAAAAACATTAAGATTGAGAAAACTAAGATTCCGGTTGGGCTCTGTGACTGCCTTACTTGTAGCAATAACTATAGCCTTTCCTTGGAAGCCATATATTCTCAGCCATGGATTGTTGTGAGGCTCAAATATATGGAACATATTTTATAAACCACATGAATGTACGGTAATAGTTGTTATACCCAGAGTATATTATCTTATGTAGAATGTTTGACTAATAGGTTTTGCTTTTAGTCAGCTCATTATGGTGGGTATTTTTATTGTTTATATCTGACTGGTTCATACTTACAGGGATTAAGAGAAGCCATTTTGATAGCTTGAGAGCTGCAAAACCATAATAAGAAGTTTCTATATTTAAAATGTTCATAATAATTACTCTTTTTTAATTCCAATAATGTCTATTTGAAAAACACAGAACAGAAATGGCATGCAGAAATATCAAGAGTCAACTAGAGAATGCCAGGCAAATCACTGTTCATCACCGTTGCTTTAGAAAAGCAAACTAAAAATATTGTTTACTTGGAATTTGGGGGCAGTATTTTTTTCTAATCATGCCACAACTTTGACTTGAAATGAAAATATCCGAGGAACATGATGTGAAGAAGTTGTATAGAATATATTATTGGTACATGTCCTGCCGTCTGCATTTCATTGAGATTTTGATTCTTTCCCTTCCAGTTCCGAACCTTTGACCCATGCAAACAGCTGTGGTGTAGCCATCCTGACAACCCCTACTTCTGTAAGACTAAAAAGGGGCCCCCACTTGATGGCACTGAATGTGCTGCTGGAAAAGTGAGTCTGTCTATATACCATGAAGAGTTAAGATACATGGCGTAATAATCACCTTTAAAAGTCTGGGAAATGACAAACATAGCTGTATTATCATTTTTATGAATACCATAGTACATGAGGTTTCATTATGATAATGTAACTAACATTGCATAGTAGTTTCCACTGACCCCTGTAACAAATTACCACAAGCGTGGAGCCTTAAGACAACAGAAGCTCATTTTTTCATACTTCCGGATGCCAGAAGTCCCAAATCAGTTTCACTGAACCAAAATCAATGTATGGGCAGGACCGTACTCTCTCCAGACGCTCTACTGGAGACTCTCCTTGCCCCTTCCAGCTTCCGGTGGCTGCCCACATCCCCTGACTTGTGTCTGCACCACCTCAGTCTCCATCTTCATGATCACATCGCCCCCTTCTCCTCTTCTGGGTGCAAATGCCCCTCTACCCCTCTTGTGAGGAGATGCATGATGGCATTGAGGGCCCACCTAGATAATCCAAGATAATCTCCCCCCAAAATCTTTAGTCTAATCACATCTGCAAACGCTGTTTTCCAAATAAGGTAACATTTACAGATTCTAGGATCTGACACCTCTGGGACCCCACTCTTTAGCCCACCACTGATAGACCAGGAAGCGGCAGCTGAGCAGAATATCAGGGGCCCTGCCCTGTTAATGGGATTTGATTTACTTGCTGGCCTCCCTCTCCTTGTGCAAGTTGTCCAGAAATACAGTCGTGCAAATTTAGACAGAAGATTTGGCCTTGCTCCTTAGGGAAAGAAGCCCAGAGGTTTTAAATCTCAAATTGTGCAGTCAGGATTGAATGCTCAGGAACTGGCCAAGTGCCAAGCTACCCTACTCCTAAGGGGAAAGATCACTCATCCCCAAACAAAGCATGTTAAGAACTCAAGTTGAAGTGCCTTGATTAGTTTGGATATAAGATATTGTGGACAGGACCAAAAGCTGGCAAAGAAGATTTATATAACTTTTAGTTCTTTTAAAGCCCTGTAAAGCTCTCTTTCTAAAGTGTATAAACCATACTTGCAATGAGGATTACAAGCATAATAATAATAACAATAATAATAATAATAAAACCTGCCAGTATTCGTGTTTAAACTTCATTGGTCACTATGCTAAATACACTGCATACGGTATGCAGCTGTGGGAAAATTTAGTATTACAAACTTTTGACTAAAACACAAGAGCAACACTGAGTTGATTAATTTTTGCTTTATGAAAAAGATACCCTCCAAAATCAACTCTGAACATCAGTCCCTAAACATTTGTGTTATATTTAAATTGACCAAAGTGGAGTTTTAAGAAACACTTCTATTGTATTTAGTATAAAAAAGCAAGTCAAAATGTTGGCAGAGAAGAGAACTCACACCTGCTGTGTGCTGGGCACGGTAAGCCAGGTGCCTGAATGCTGTCAGGGTTTGAGTAGCTCCCACTTGATTACTTTCTGGCCGGTCAGATGGTCTTGTATTACCCATGATCCTTTCTGGGGCCCAGATCTCCACATTTTCTACTGTGGAAATTAGGTGCTCAGATCATTTTTATTGGTTATGTTTGATACTCACTAGTAAATGTATCATATAAAAACTCGTCAGAATGAATTATTTTTTATTTCAATTTATAATAAGAAATGCAAGTCTAAATTACCCTTTGTATAGGGAACCTTATTTTTAAAATTACTTTTGGATAATTTTAAACACATTCTCACCTGGTGGGGGTACGGAAAAATGAAGCTCTTCCATTGGAGATTCTTGTATAACAACTTCAGCTTTAGCATACGCATGATTTTCATAATTATGAACCTTTGTCGTTTTCCTAAGTGGTGCTATAAGGGCCACTGCATGTGGAAGAATGCTAATCAACAAAAACAAGATGGCAATTGGGGATCATGGACCAAATTTGGCTCCTGTTCCCGGACGTGTGGAACAGGTGTTCGTTTCAGAACACGCCAGTGCAATAATCCAATGTGAGTATGACCCCATAATTCTAGTTCGTTTTGTGTAGGCCAGAAAAAGCTTCGATGTACTGTTATTACTATTTTGTTTCATAAACTATATTTAAAATAAAGAAAATGAAAACTAAGGATTTAACTGCCTATTTGAGATAAATCTCCATTTATCAATTTGGTGAAGAGTGGTCAGTGGTGAAAATGAGAGATTCAAGGGAAGATTAGAGATTTTGGAGAAATTGCTGTTTAGGAGCATTAAGGAGCTCAGCAGGGGAAGTCCTCAGATCCACTGTAAGAAGCACAGGTGTGTCAGGCGGGAGCAGCACCCTCCACAGATGCTCAAACGCTCAGCGTTGCGAGGGGGGCTTCGGGGCGGGGCAGCAAAAGACGCTGAAGGAAGGCCAAGGCACTGTTACAGAAAGTTATCCATTTATTCACTCCGACTACATTGATCCAATCTCTCTAGCATGCTCAAGAAAATTTATTTTCTGAGGGAAAAAAAATAACCAAAATATTAAACTTCCAACATTCTTCCTTGTCTAGGGTTTAACATGTGAGCAGCCCTGTGTCTCTGGCAGCAGGATGGCTCTGAGCATGTCTTTTATAAAGATTGAGTGTCACACGCTTGTCTTCACAGGAAGAGATGATGGTAGTATTAGTGGCGGTCACAAAAACAATAAAAACTACTGTAGTAAGAGCAGCTAAGTTTCACTGTGAGCCACACTCTCTTCTAAGTGTTTTAAATATGTAAGCTCATCCAATTCTCTTAATTTTTCTGTAAGGAAGAGCTGGGAAACTGAGGCACAGAGCTGTGGTCAAAATCTCTTTCAGTTGCATCGACATGTTTTATGCATAGTAGAAAATAAAAATTCTGGGTCTATATCTGTGTTTTTATTTCTTTATATACTTTGCCTTGCGTTTAACATGCACTGTTTAAAAAGCCACTTTAGGTTGAGTTTTGGGTCTACCCCTCTTCCTCCCCGTCCCCCACCCCCAGCAGGGGGAGGATGGTGCTTTTGGAAAGGGATTGAAAGTGGGAAGTGTGAGTTCATTCCCTTGGTGCTGGCAGCCCAGAAGCTCTGGCTTCCCGCCCTCCCTCGAGCACTGTGTCTGCAAGCTTCAACTGCTGGACCGGAGCCAAGAGGCCTTTTTAAATGTTGTCTTTTCTTTAGGCCCATCAATGGCGGTCAGGATTGTCCGGGTGTTAATTTTGAGTACCAGCTTTGTAATACAGAAGAATGCCAAAAACACTTTGAGGACTTCAGAGCGCAGCAGTGCCAGCAGCGTAACTCCCACTTTGAATACCAGAACACCAAACACCACTGGATGCCATACGAGCACCCTGACCGTGAGTAGCGGCCTGCTCCTCTCCTCCTGCGTGCACGGTGACTTAGAGTTTGTGCTTTGTCTTCACCATTCCCTTGGACGCTTGATCCCTACTTGGTAACTTAGAAACTTTGGTGCGTACAGTGCTGAGTCCTCTGGGTTTCCAAGAATAAGGCTAACGTCCCCCTTTCTCAGGAGAGGTGAGAATTGTGGAATAGTTCCTGGCAAATAGCGTGACCCCCATCACTACTGAAAAGACCAGGGGAAATCATGCAAAATGGAAAGCATGGAAGAGATGTTGAGTTTCCTCATTTAACAGAAATCCCTCTACTAGGGAACGCTCTTGGAATATTGTGATCTGTCCTTTCTGAATAACTAAAGGAAAATATAGCTTTTTTTACAATGGGATCAGGAGCAAGAAAAAGACTGTTATTTAATAGCAACAGAAACTTCATAACCTTTTTATTTTTGTGCTCTATGCTAGTTATTAAAAAATACACTTGGAGACTCCCTTTTACTGTTTCACTTTTTACCCTTAAACTTTCAGTTAAATATGTTCAAATGGAAACATCTCATCATATTATTTGATTGAATAAAATAATATAATATACTACTCATATGATATAATACACCACTGAGTTCAATTGAAAAGCTGTTTTAAATGAAAGATGCATCCATATAGTAATTCAAAGTTGCAATGCATTGATAAATGCATTATTTTTTATCTATTTTCAGGAAGTGAGTCACATAAACTATGTTATATTTAATTAATGAGATTACACAGAGTCAAAAACTCTACTGGATCATTGGGTCAAATGAAAGAGAAACTCTTTCAGCACTCTAAGCATCACTAAGAGTAAAGTGGTTCTTATTTAAAGCTTTTGAATCTAGTGTTACCATGTCACCTGATTTGCCTGGGATAGTCCCAGGATAGACCTGTTGTCCCTGTGTAATTAGTAATAGAGTCCTTTTTCACTCTCAAAAATATCCCAGTTTGGATGTTAAATCAGATGATCACCCTGGTTGAAACAAATATGCTATGTATGTATAATTTACTTTTTATTTTATTTATTTATACCCTATTTTATTCTCAGGAAATCACATTGAATCTATTTTAAAAATATACTGTTGAAATGTGCCACTTTATATAAATATTTCATCTAATTTTCCATCATATGCAGCCAAGAAGAGATGCCACCTTTACTGTCAATCCAAAGAGACCGGAGACGTTGCGTATATGAAACAGCTGGTGCACGATGGCACGCGCTGTTCTTACAAAGATCCATACAGCATATGTGTGCGAGGGGAGTGTGTGGTAAGCTGCCTGCAGTGTTATGCAATTCTGCTTTAACTAACATTCATCTGCATGTCTTCAAAATTTTTAATTTCTCATCTGTGAAATCACATTATCATGTGCATGTATGCGTAGTTTAGTAGCTAAACTAAATCTGGGAGGAACAGCACTTAATAAAATAAAACTTTGCTCACTGGCTGAATGAAGATTGAAATGCACTTTTCCCAATTTCCAGCCAAATTACTCTGATGTTTTCTGGTTGGGAATACAACTTGGGAACAGTGCCTTTGTTTTTGAGTATTCCAATGTTTAATATATTTTATCTTTTGTTTAAGAAGTAATAAAAACTTGTTTTTCTCTTTCTCCCACCTTCCAACTGATTCTAAGTTTAAACACTGAATTTAACATCTGAACAAAAGAAGATGTAAAATCTGTGTTTTTGCCTTGTTTAATCTTTTTTATTGCAGCTTATTTTCTTATTCATGTTCATATATCATGTTAAATTGATAGGAAACTATCTTTTTAATAGTTTATTTTTACTGTATTTTTTCCATCACAATTTAGCGCCACTGTGCCATCTTCCACCTCCACCCACCTCTCATTCCCGCAGTCACCACACCGCTGGCCACGTCCACGAGCTTTTTGTTGTTGTTGTTCATTCCCACCATTTCTTATTCCCCCAGAGCTGTCATCCAAATTATCCTTATTAACTGAACACATTGCTTCTTCCTGTTTGACTTATTTTCACTTCAGAACAACTAGTGTCGTATCAACAAATCTTAAGTACACGGATGCCTCATGGTTGATCTGAAATTTCCCTGAAAGTACAGTCTATGGTTTATTCATCTTTCCCCTCCTTCAGTATGAAGGACATTAGCGGGTGTGGGATCCTTATTTCCTATGCACACTTTCATCCCAGACTTACCGTGCAGTGGCAAATCACTGTCATTACCCTGCACTGATTCATGTAAAAGAGCTGCCCCAGCTCAGGAAATCTTCCGTGGTCCCCTGTTAAGTTAATGTGAAAACATAAGCTCTTCCGAAACTCAAGGCCTTTCACAGCACATGCTTTGCAGATCTTTACTCTGCTTCCCCTGTCACGCCACACCAAATTTCCACTGGTTTAAATATGGTTAAATATTGTTCTCTTACCTCACTTTCCATGAATATACAATTTCCATGGCTCTGTTTTAACCTCTTTACATTCTTTTATTTTGATCCTCACACTAGGATGTTTATTGATTTTAGAGAGAGAGGAGGAGAGAGAGAAACATCCATGTGAGAAAGAAACATCGATTGGTTGCCTTCTGTACACAGCCCAACTGGGGATTAAACCCCCAGCCTTTTGGTGTGCGGGATGAAGCTCTAACCAGCTAAACCACCTGGCCCGGAGCAGTCCCTCTGTGTTCTTGAAATGCATTTCCTCACACTTGATTCCTTCAGGGACCTATGAAAATCTCTACCACTTTGGTGGCTTTTGTCTTACAATCCTAGCAAACATGTAAATCTTGTACTAACATACAACTCACTATTTCATTATTCATCTTTATAAATATGAAAGCAACCAAGGGCAAAGCACCACCTTACTTTTGCCTCCTCAGCGTCTACTATAACATCTGTGCTTAATAAATGTTTAATGATGATGACTCCGTTTAATGGTCATTAGACTGGGGGAAGTTTATGCTAGAGTACAATTTAACCTGGAATACAAGTCATTTAATTGCATAGTAGTTCCTTAAAAGATGGAGGTGTAAATCAGAGCTAGAACAAAAGTTTGGTGCAGATGGCCTGGCTGTCAGCTCCTGATTAAACAAAGTCGTCATTCTCTAGGATGCTAACCTTGACTTGACACATTAAAATTAGCCACATTTAACATCTTCTTTCCGCAGAAAGTGGGCTGTGATAAAGAAATCGGTTCTAACAAGGTAGAGGATAAGTGCGGTGTCTGTGGAGGGGATAACTCCCATTGTCGAACTGTGAAGGGGACATTCACCAGAACCCCCAGGAAGCTTGGTAAGATGAGGCCTCCCGTGAATTCAGCATCCTTCTCTATGATTTTTAATGTTTGAGACTTCTTTTAGGAGTGCAGCCTTTTCTCTATAAACATAATAAAACATTCACTGCTGGCTTATTTTTATTCAGATGACCTTTTAAGGAACTATTTAAAAAATTTTTGTATTCGTGTCCATAGCATTTGTAAAAAATTATCTACTGAATTGTGATAAAGAACAAATAAATCACTATCAGTTATAGTAGCCAGCTAAAATCTTTGTTTTGTTTTATTTTGCATTTAATAAAATGCAGTAGACCCAATTATTAGAATTGGGTGCTTACTTTGAATTTTCATAAATTGTTGATCAGAAGTTTAAAATAATCACAAAATGTTAGTTACAACTTAAAATATTATATTATTTTTGCTTCTTTTACTTTAAAAGTGAACAAGTTTTACCTGTTTATAAACCTACACATCTAGGGTCCACATTGCACATAACTTTTAAAATTTTATTTAAACAAAATTGAGGTACAAGTGAAAATAACCTGAGGTATAATTGCTTATGTGTGTGAATGTCTGTGCTTATTAAACAATCAATGACCTGGATTTAGTCATATGGTAAATTTCAACAGCTGGAACAACAACAACAAAAAAACCCAAAATAATATGCAAAAATAGTAACCATTTTATTATTATCCATTTGAATATTCATTAAATATTTAGATGCAAACATTTATCATTAAACTTTTTGAGTTTGTTACACATTTTATTTAGTTATTCAATAAGCATTTATTGGGCAAATGTTTCTGAAAATTCTGCACTTAAAAACAAATTTGATGTGGCGCTTTCCTTAAGAAACATTTCTTATATTACCCAAAGCCCTGTCAGTATGCAGTTGTCTTTTGTAGAATGATAGAAAATAAAATCAAACAAAGAGAGTTGGTTTACTTTGATTGAGTACATTGTTGTGACAGTAGTTTTCCCTTTAGGAAGAAAAGAACATATAAAAAAAGTTGATCTTCATCCAAATGGAATTATTCTCTTAGTTCTTTTTATTCTCATTATAACTCATCTATCCAACCCAAGCCAATTCCACAATACCTGCTTTGCTCTTTGATATATTGAGGGTGGCGGAGCTGGGTGACTCTATTCTAATATGTTTTTCTTAGGCATTCCTCACTCGAGCTCTGGATGTTTGTTATTCCTGTGTGATAATTTACTATGTTTTGTACCTTGAACATTGTTAAAAAGTAAATACTGCCATTCCCAGCTGATTATATTATTTTAATAAAGCAAACAGAATTAGAATGGTATATGTAATATTTTGGTGGAGTAAAATGTAATTTTCTCCATCTTTTTATGAAGTGATTTACTGTGCTTTACTGCAATTACATATTATTATTTTAGATGTAAAATAATTCATTTTGTTTATTTCCAGTGTGAATTAATGAAAAAAGTTTTTGCCGTCTCATTTATTCTATATATTGTGTGTAATATGAGGTAGTGATACTTTTTTTTTTCAGATACCTCAAAAATTATGCTAAACCTGCAAATCAAGGTCGGAAGAACAGAAGAAATCTTTCATCAATCATACAGATTTAAACTGTTGAAAGATGATCTAACATCCATTTCTTTGCACTAAGGCTGTCATAGTCATTCAATAGACTAATTAACCTTTTCCAACAGGGAAACATTTAAGCAAGAGGTGCCATAAAGAATTGAAGTTGCTGGAAAATGAAATCTGCAAGTATTCAACTTCAAATCACCTATATCATTTCTCATTCATGCTTAGTCTTACTTTCATTGACTATTAACAGTTTATTGGCATTGGCTAACTATTATAAATGCATTTTGACTTCAGCATATAAAATTACAGGACATATTTTTAACTTACCTAATAATATATATATACATACACACACACATATAGCTTATATAGTCAATGAAACAGCAAGACTTTGACAAACATGAAACCTCCACTAATTAAAGACATTCTATTTAAGGGAAAACGAGAGGCGCCTTCACTTTACCCAAAGGAGCTCGTAATATTTCTCTTGCTGAAACAAGGGAAGCTAAAAATGTACTGGGTAAGTTGTAGCGAACCGCAGAAAGATGGGCATCCATAAATGGCATCAAGCTGTTTCACTGTCCTTGGCATCTTACACGTTACTCATAGCCACTGAGCACTCAGGCACACATGGTACTTTCCATGTACTGGACTTCTCCCTGGCTCAGGTGCCTAAAACCTGACCCCCAAATTACTATTTCATTTAGTTAAGCACTTAGTGAACATTGTGACTACCCACAGGTAGATAGTAATTGTCTATGTATAAATGACAGACATGTTTCTTTCTGATTCCATCAGCAATTATTAATTTATAACTGAATTTCTGTCAGTAGTCATCCTGTAGTATATGAATTGGATGTTTTATAAGCTATCAGTTGCATCATCTTCCTATATTTGCTTACTTTTTAATGGAAATGAGATGTAACACTTGATTTCTCTATTTTGCCCTGACTATTGTTGATTTATAGTTGGGGTCTTAATTCTAAATTATCTTAAGATAATTTTTAGAACTTGTGATAATACTAAGAAAGCATGTTACATATAAAATTTACTATAAGAGAACTGATAATGTGATTTTAAAACCCAAGGCCACCCATTAAGCATATTGAATTAATTAATTAATTAGTTTGTTTATTTGCACTAGAAGCTTGAGGTTAGGGTGCATATAACGGCAATGTTTGACAACCTGCAGACATTTTCCAACCAAATGGTTTGGTCAAATTTATAACACATTTTATCACATTCCCACTATAATACTTGTTGAAAGCTTAAAATTAATTACTTACCACAAGAAAAATGCTCACTGATTTCCCCTTTGTAATTTTTAGAATAAGGCAGGTTTTAAATACGAAGATATTTTATTAATTAAAAGTTTACTTACACTCGCCTCTTATGCTTTTAAAATAACATATATGCTGATAAAATATTTTCATAAGTTCAACTAATACTCTAAAAATTGGTCCCACTTCAAAAGAGTGGTTTATAAAACTAAAATCACGTAGAGGGACACAGGAAAGTACCAAATTTGCCTGAATTGTTGTGGACACAATTCACAGGCCAGCACAAAATAAATGGCTAACAAATTGGAAAGAAGATTAATTCTTCTCTTCCTCTTTAATTAAGAAAGAAAAAGGTTTCCTCTAATCTCATGCCAGATGTCACACCAGCTACCAGTGCTTTGAAGTTAATTTCTGAAACTGCTTCTTTCGGTTTATGTGTGCCCTCTTCTGCATGCAGAAGCAGTAAGAATGTAGTGCTCAACTAACCATGGTTGTTGCTTTTGTTTTCTTTGCTTCCTACAATATTCACTACACATGCAAAGGGTACCTTAAGATGTTTGATATACCCCCTGGTGCCAGACATGTGTTAATCCAAGAAGACGAGGCTTCTCCTCATATTCTTGGTAAGTGTTTCTATCCGCTGCCTCTGCTTTAATGTGCACTTCAGTGTGGAAATGTCAAAGAAATCATATCTATATATAGATCTATGTGTATAGGTGCATATATGTATATATAGATATATATGTAGAAATGTATATGTATACATTAGATATGCAGGATTCAAGTTACATATAAATGTATTATTATGTGATTATTGGTCTGTTCTCCCGACTATTCTTTCATTAAAACAAGAAATATTCAAAAATAGAGCTTTTAATTTTTGTTAAAACCTCAGTTAGTTCATTATTACATGAAGAAAAAAATCATTTGACAGATTTATACATGTGCATTTTTGCTCTGCATTAGAGGATGACAAAAAATTATGTTAAAATGCACTAAATTAAGGATAATATCAGAAAATTTGCCATATTTTGACAAATTAGTTCTGATATTTTGGTTTATGCCATACTGTATGCCTTGCCTTACTTTTGTTGCATTTTAAGTTCTTTGACTAAAAAGCAACCACATGTGAATTTTACTTGTCTAATGAAAATTTTCCTAATATCTGTTATGTGTCCAGTTTCTGACTGGTACATGCAGATCCATGTGCATGGCTGTTTATAATTTCCAAAAGAAGATTCTTTTCCTCCTGTATAAGGGGATCATGTCGAAATGCACTTCAAAGTATATGTACAAATATAAACATAACTTTCACATAGTCCTTGACCTATTAAAGCACTAAGATTTCTGAAACTAAGGTGTCATCTGTCAACCCCATGAAAATATGTAGAAAATTGTTTTTTAAAATGTATGACTTAAAAATGGTATTTCATAGAATAGTTTTAGCATTTAAATTATATTCTCTACTAGGTTCTATGACAGTGTAGCAGTAAGCTGTAGTTATTTACAGTAATTAAAATTAATTATTTTTTATCCTTAGCATTCAGATTATTATCCTTGGAAAAAATAGACTAGTTTAAAAGCTCAGGGGGCAAGGGAAAGTGGTGGGGGGTAGGCAGAGACAAATGTATTTGAAAAAATAAATTAATTTAAAAAAATAAAAGCTCAGTAAGAATAAATCTATTTAACTTAAATTACTCATGTTTTCTGTACATTTGCAGTAATGGTAATAATATGAAATTTTATTTTCTAACATCATTATATGCTGATAAATATCTCCAAACTTGAATATTTCATTTATTTTTTATCCATTAAGAAAGTATTTTATTTTATAATATATAGCAGATCTATAATAGATTAAAGAGCTTTACTAGCCATATAAGCAGAGGATATGGCCTTGGAATTTTATAGTTATAAGAACTAAAAATCAGTTCAATTTTGTTGAGTGCCTATAAATATTTTGACTAACTTGAAAGAGATACACAGTAAATAAATAAGCCATTATGTTGCATGCTGAACTAACGTACATGATTTGCATTAATTGTCATAGAAGTATCCAGTATTTTCAAAATATTCTCATGTTTCTGAGGAAATGTACAGGACTGAGTGAGTTTAAACTGTTAACCTCTTTGACAATATTTTCAAATGGGAATATTTCCTAAGTTTTATCCTCAGTGTAAGTTTCTTACTATTGCTTTTGACTAGTTAGAAGTCATTCTTGAGGATTTTAAATGCCTATTGAAGGAAATGGGATGCATATCAGAACTAACACTCATTTCGATTTGTTTGATACTAAGAAACAGTCTTTGATTTATAGAAGGCTTAATGTGGATCATCAAATCTGGATACGATAAAATAAAATGTCTGCTGGTTCCTCGTTTTCCTTCCGTTAGCTATTAAGAACCAGGCTACAGGCCACTATATTTTAAACGGCAAAGGGGAAGAAGCTAAGTCGCGGACCTTCATCGACCTTGGCGTGGAATGGGATTATAACATTGAAGATGACATTGAAACTCTTCACACCGATGGACCTCTACACGATCCTGTTATTGTTCTGGTATGTGGCGTCACGGGCTCACTATTTAGCTAGATTCGTTACAGTTTTGTTATTAACTTACCTGAAAACACGTTTATCTTAAACATGGAATACTTAGTTGATTGGTTTAAAATAATTCCATTTATCTAGGTCAAAAATTAATTGTCTAAATGTATGTGAGTTTATTTTTGGATTATCATTCTGTTCCACAGGTTAGATAATTTTACAGAAAATATATAATAATCGAAATTGTAAGTGTGAATGATTGGCAATCAGAAGCTCTCTTTCACTTTTATATAATTGCGCTGCATTCCTTTCCAGCTGCACAGGTGTCTTGTCTTAGAGCCTGCCGTGTAACCTTCAGGGAAGATGGCCTGGGGACTCTGCCCACTGAGAGGGGTGTGGACACAGGGAACAGTGGGCTGCAGTGACAAGGAGATTTGCAGCTAGAACAGAGGGCTGTGGACAAGCAGTGCTCTGTCACCATGGCCTGCCTTCTCCTTGCTAAGGGATCGGAACGGCAGGCAGCGGGGCAGGGAGGCCCGAAGCTCGGTGGCCAGGCCGTCTGGAGTTGAAAGCATTAGATGTTTTGCCTAGCGTGTGAGAGCCAGTGCTTGATTTTTTAATGCTGTTTTAAAAGCAAAGACGAAGGGGAAGAAAAAAGAGCAAAATCCAGATAACTGCATCCTTCATTTTAGTCATTTAGTATCACTTGATTTCTCAAACAGAAGCTGTTTTTAAAAGTTTAGTTTAAAATACCCATGAATTTAACATTTTTTTCCCCTTGTATAATTGGTATAATCCTATAGAAGCTACATGGAAGTCAATAAAAACTATTTTTTAAAAGAATAATTTTCTGCTGTACACAAAATTTAAAAAGCAAATAAAAAACAATATATTTGCAATGCTTTTAAAAATTAATATCCTTGTATATTTATGAAAAAAGATATACCCATTTTACAGAAGAAAGAAAACGTGATGTGAACATGCAATGTACAATAGACAAAATTCAATTAGCTAATAAACTTAGGAAAATTAAACTTTACTCTTTATCAAGTAACTAGCAGCTAAAACAACAGACTTTTGCCCATTCAGTTAGTAAAGATGAAAATTATATAATAGGTGGTGCTGAATTGAGGCACTTTCATATACTATCTCAACTTGAAAGTAACAGTTTTTCTAACTATTCTGAAAAGCCATTCATCAGTGTGTCATAAGCACTATAAAAACTGTTTGTACCTGTTAGCCCCCTAAGGAAAATCAGAAATCATCGAAAAGGTGGGGACAAGTTCTGAAAATACAAGTATTTATGAATAAATAGTTAAATAATACACCTGACCATTAGGATTAAATACTATGCTAACTTTTACAATTACGTTTCCAAGTAATAGTTACTATTTCAGGAACTGTGTGTAACACATTTAGTGAAATAAGCAAATTCAGAGGTCGGGGGGAGAGGGGGAGAGTGTGTGCATGACTGTGTCCACACACACACACACACACACACACACACACACACACACACACACAGTATGCAAGTATCTTGAGAGTATATCCCAAAATTGTAGAAGTAACTTACTCAAGTTTTCTCTGATTTAGTAGAATTATGGATGATTTTTTGTGTGTGTTTTTCTATAATCTATATTTTCTGGAGGGAACTTTATCATCTTTATCATAACAAAACATTTGAAAGAATAATTTTTAAATGCATTAAGGGATATATATAACTTAATGAAATTTACAATGAATCTTATGATAAAGTTATTTTTATAATACAAACCCTTACTCTTCAATGTATGTATTTTTATATTTTTATGGTGAAAGTTTTATATTTTTTTCTTAAACATGAACACTTGTACTTTAGTTGAAACAAAAACATTTTTAGAAACAATGTGAAAGACTTTCAGTTTCAGTAAGAACAATATTCTGAAATATTTTAAATTTTTCATTCATAATTTAAAACTCTCTCAGGTGATTTACATATACCTACTCATGTGTGCATTAGATTATACCTCAGGAGAATGATACCCGCTCTAGCCTGACATATAAGTACATCATCCATGAAGACTCCGCACCTACAATCAACAACAACAATGTCATCCAGGAAGAATTAGACACCTTTGAGTGGGCTTTGAAGAGCTGGTCTCAGTGTTCCAAACCCTGTGGCGGAGGTAACAGTTGAACATATGTATTACATTACAAAGTAATCACATTAAGTCAGTCTTCTTGCTTTTCTGCCTTAAGGATTGACTCTAATTGAGGCCATAATCTGAGAATACCATATATACCATATATAACTAAAATATAAATACAAAGCATTTTTACTGAAATTTCAGACTGTGCAAAGGCTAGGAATCCATCATAGAACAGTAGACCTTCTTAAACTCCCCTTGCCATTTCCCTTGAGTTCCCTCTGTCTCATACCACGTAGTGGTACCGCTAATCACTTTACTCTTCCCAAACTCTCCCACACTCAGTGTCCTCTGGTGCTTGCCTTCCTTCTTTTCCACTCTTGCTTTCCATACCTATGCATTTCTTTTCTATCACTGTTAATAATAATGGAGCTATGAGTTGCACTATGTACCAGACACAGTTTTAAATGCTTTATATATTAATGCATGAATACTCAGAACGCCTCTGTGAAATAGAGACTATCATTATCTCTCTTGTGTTAATGGAGAAACTGAAGCACAGGGAAGGTAAGTAATTTGCCCAGGCAATAACATGCAAATGCAGGAGGTCTGGCTTCTAAGCATATCCTCTTACTACATTTTCCTGCCTCTCTTCCCTCCCTAAGATAAATCCATTAAGCTCTTCTCAAGGTTTCTCAGTTTCTCCCATCATCCATTCCTCTCATTCTGTACAATAATGCTCCAGAATTGATCTGGCCAAGACAGAATTCTCTCCAACAGGCAGAAGGAGGCCAGGGCCTCTCACAATAATGATACTGAATTATTGAAAACAAAAGATTATTAACTGTATAATTTCAAATTCAAGGATATATTTCTAAAGTGTTTTGGGGGGGATATAGGCATAAAGCGTTTTAGTTAATTATGTAAAATGACACTTTATTCATTACAAGATGTTTATTTAATTTGGACCCTTCCTGCTGCCTGCACCCTCAACACTGATTTGGTCACCAGATTTGTTGTATACACCTTTTTGATATCTACCACATCTATCCCTTCCTTACTAAAAACTTCCTTCACAGTTTTGGAAGGGAAGGTTATTACAAAAGTCTCTTAGTCAACTAGCTTTTGATTTTCTTCTCTTCCTTTATTTCCAGCATACTCTTTCTTGAATGAATGAATAAGTGGATTAATGAATGAGTTTAATTATATTATTTCCTTATTCAAATCCTTTAGTCTCCCAATGTGTTGCCCTGAAATACAATATAACATTCAGTATTCTTGCCACGTGAGTAACCTGAATCTAACTATTAAGAGAATATTAAATAAACCCAAATTGTAGGACATTTTTCAAAACAACTGGCCTGTGTACCTCAACTACATTAAAGATAAAGAGTCTTCAGACACTGTTCCTAATTAATCTGATAATTCCATGACAACTAAATATTATTGGTTGGAAAAGCGTTACTATGCAGAACATCATAGGGACAATTGAAAATTTTTGAGTATGGTCAATATATAATACTATTATATCTGCATTAAATATCCTGATTTTAAGAGTTATAGTGTGGTTGTGTAAGGAAATGTGTTTGTTGTGTGATAAATGAAGTACATAGAAGTGAAGGATAAAGATGTTGGTGACTTTACTCCCAAATGGTTGAGCAAAATTTCACATATATATTACATATTAATTATGTATATAAATTATAATATCATTGTAATTGACATATTGTATATAAATATATGTATATATCTTAAATGTGGTGACATGGTAACACAAGGTTAATCTAGATGCAAGACATACAAATGTTTATTGTCCTTTCCTTTCAACTTTCTTTAGGTTTGAAATTTAAAAAAATAAAATTATTTACAAATGTGAAAGTTGGTGGTTAGGGAGACCTTTAATAATCCGCTGTGACATTCAGAACAAAGTCCAAACACTCATCTGGAACTCAAGGTTTTTATATTGGATCCTTTCCTATCTCCCCCCACTTCACACATGAAGCTTCATTCATTCAGAGACATGCAGTTTTCTCTGTTATTTCCTTTGCTTGAAGTACTATTGTGCTTTCTTCCCTTTATTTAAACTGTAAGACTCCGCTCTAGGAAGTGCTGGTCTAGTAAGAGCTCCCTGCCCTCCTCCAGCGGTGAGACTTCCCCCTGTGTGTTCCTTTGGTGCCCCCTGCAGTACGTTGTGTTCATAGCTCTGTGTTGGCAGTGGTTTTCAAACCTGTCCCTGACACTAGATTCTGTACATGCAGAGTCCAGTTTATTAGCAGATGTGCAGTTACCATTTAATAATGTATTTAATTAATGTATAAAATTTATTAAATGTAGGCTCTAAAAAGATAAGTTTGTTTATGTAATTTACTTCTAGACCTTCAGCACCTAGAACAGTGGCTGGCTTACTCTATGCACTCAGTAAATATTTGTTGAATGAATAAATGAATGGATGACCAAATATATAACAGGATGAATAAGTGATTTAATTCAAAGAAACTATTTTCTTTCCCAGGTTTCCAGTACACTAAATACGGATGCCGTAGGAAAAGTGATAATAAAATGGTTCATCGCAGCTTCTGCGAAGTCAACAAAAAGCCAAAACCTATTAGAAGAATGTGCAATATTCAAGAGTGTACACATCCACTGTAAGCATTTGTTTTAACTATCGTACCCTGGGGACAAAGTAATATGTACTAAAATGTCTTTAACTCTCTTTAATTTTAATTTTACTTAAAGCTAATACAGGTACCGATTTAAGTTAGTTAAGTCAATACAGTGGATTTATTTAAAGCTGTAGTTCCCTGCCTTTATTATTCTCCTGCTATTCAAAAACATCACTTTCAGCTGTTATGCTTCTTTTAATATTTGGTACAGCTCCTTCCCTCTCTCTTACGTAAAATGTTTTTGCTTTTGCTGCTTGACTTTTGGGGGCAAGAAGGGGTGAGGGAGGTTTTAGACATTACGTATATTGAATTTCCACTGTGGAAAGTGAATGATTTACCATAGTCGTCCTTCAAATACAGATCCATAGCCCACACTTCTCCATTCCCCAGTACTTTCAGTATTGGTATAGCATATCTTTTACTGATATTAATGTTCAGAGTTTATATTATTTCAATAGCATTCATCTGTCTTACCACTTGAGTCACTTAGTATCCTCCTATTTTGTTTCTTGTAAAACTTTGTTTCTTCTAGAGTTAATGTATGTCTTGACTTTTGTGCATTTTTTACTACTTTTCACTAGTTTGTCCCCAAGCTCTCTTCCATGTATAGCAATCTCCACTAAATACTAAATACTAAACACTCAAGTGTCTTCTTAGAGACAGCTCAGAGAGTTCTGTGTGTTCCAGCTCTGCCCTGGACACCTCATAACTTTCATCCTGGGCGTTGTTTTACCACCTACAATCCAGAGAGAGTCCTACTGCCTCTCTCTGGCATTGCCTGCATTCCTTGTCTTCTTACCTCTTGCTGTAGTCATTTGTTTTGGTGGACCTTATTTTCCAGTAGCTTCATGGAAAAAAAGTACAAATTAAAAACTTATATAAGAATTATATTCTTCTACACCCAAGAAAAACATAAAAAGTTAAAGTGTAATGGTATATAAGAAGTCTTTCTTCCACTCTCTGGATCATTTGGACACACATTTCATTCCAAACTATAATATATATAGCCTTCTGAATTTTGAAACCACTGCTCCCATCGTTTTCCAGACTCCAGTGTTGCTGTTAAAAAGTCATTTGTAATTCTGGTAACCAGTTCTTTCTGTGTGACCTATGTTTGTCATCCTAAGCTTGTAGGATCTTCTTTTCCTTCCCAGCATCCTGAAATTTCACACTGATGAAATTTTACAGTCTTGGTGCTCATCTTTTCTCATCCATCATGTTACATACTTGTAGACTTTTTAAAACATGAAACCAGTGTGTTCCATTTCTGGGAGATTTTCTTATATCTTTGAAAAAAAAAGTCTTTTTTTTTCCAGTGTTCTTTTTTGGGGGGATATTTGTAGTTAGGCTTCCTAGACAGATCTAATTTTCTCTCCTACTGTTTAGTGTTCCACTTGCTGAATTTTTCATTTTTGCTCCTGTGTTCAAGAGAGTTTTAATATCCAAGAACTGTTTAGTTCCTCAAATTTTCCTTTTTTAAGGCATTTGTTTCTTATTTCACAGATGTAATATCTTCTTTTATCTCTTTAAAAATGTTCAAGATTTTTCTCTTTCATAGATTATATCTTTTGAGTTATTCTGTTTTTCCCCCACCTTCATCATTTGCATTAAAGGATTTCTGTGTTTTTGGAATTGTTGGCTGTTCACACATATAAAAGAATGCAGTATTAAACAGGCTGATGGGAAGATTGTTTTGTTTTTTTTTTTTTTTGGTCAAGACTTTGCTGGTGGGCTTCGTTATAGGACGAGCTGGCTGGGTTATTTCATTGAAAGACCCTAAATTATTTGTATATTTAGGGATTTTCTAGTGAAATTCCATAGAATAGATTTAGATTCCATAGAATAGAATCAGTGTCCTGCCAAGGGAGTATAAGCCTACTGTGAAGGGAACTAGGTTCACCTTACCATTCTATATATGGGTTCTTACAGCACCCCTGTTTTCAGTATGGTTTCTTTCTCTGTTGTCTCTTGACTGTATCTTCTGTTGTCCACAAGATAAAAGTCTGATTCACCTTCTACAGAGGACAAACCTCAAGTCTTCTGCAGGGTTACAGGAAGGGTACTTGCCCAGTGGGGCGAAGGATTAGGAGACCTAACTGCCTCCATGTAGACTTTCCGTTGCTCCCCATTTTCAGCCCCTCCATCACCCATGCTTTCACAGTTCACACTTCCACTCGAGGCCATAATTTCTGCAGATTTCTGAAATTCTGCATCATCAGTTTGTTTATCAGCTCCTCCTGCAGACTTAAACTTTATCCTTCCTATGTCTACTGAATGAGCAGCCATACATCCAACTGTTTTCTAGATTCCAAAATTATCTTTTTTTCCCCCAGGTTTTTTTTTTCTCTGTTCTATTTTTCTGCTTTACTGCCATTCTAGGAGTTCCAAGATGGCGTAATATAACCACAGTTGTGTGTCTCATGGAATACCTGTCTTTAAATGAGAGTCGCTACTGGGGCCTTCAAAGTGGAATACAATTTCTTAGTTGCCAGAAATACATCGTACTGCCTGTCTGAGAAGCCAGGGCAATCTTAAACTGTTAATACCTAAGATTGCTAAGGTTATAATGTGGTTGTAGTGTGGTGCCCCATATATGCAGAAAGAAAAACAATTGCAGAGGAGAAGCAACTTTAGAAAGGCTGAATTTAGTATGCCTCAAGTACTTTCTGACAGATTGATAAAGCAGATGTAATTCACGGTGACAGCCCTTTGGGAACTGGTAACCACGTGCAATGAGAACGGTCTGTAATATCATACACTCGGTTGATTTGAAGAGTGCTGTGGGCGTCGACATTGACATGAGAATTTGGCAATGTCTAATGGGAAATCTCTCTGAAAATATTGTTTTGGAAATATTTCTTCCACGTGCATTCAAGCCCTAACTGCACACTGCCTTTACCTTTGTGTGAGACAGTCTTCATGGCAACAGTTGTGGAAATGAAACAGTTACCTCAGAAAAGTAAAACATGACTGAATTAATGATTTCATGAAAAAGCAGCAACAGCCAAAGAAATTCGTGTTAGCAAGAATCAGGTGGATTCCTTTATTATTTCCCTTTCAGATCTTTAACACCATTAGGCAATATCACTGAGAATACACTCGTATTATTTTGTAAACTACCATCATGTCTGAACGTAAGCAGGCATCCTTTAGAGGAGTTTCACAAACCATCTGTTGATCATCCTATAGGAAAGGACTAGCCTTCAGAGTCACTGGGAGGCAGAAAAATACTAAACCATTAAAAATAGAAGTGTCGGGCCTATTATTGCTAGAAAGTTCTAAGGCTTTTTAATTGTTCAATACACCCATCTTTCTGAAAGGGCTTCCTATACTGCCGTGTGCCCCACTGTTTGCACGTCACTTAGAGAGCAGGGAAGTCTAGGCTTGCGGTGCAGGAAGGCGCACATGCTGCATCCCCGTGACCGTGTTCAATGTTCAGTCTTAACCCCCATACCCACAGCTGGGCAGCAGAAGAGTGGGAACATTGCACCAAAACCTGTGGGAGTTCCGGCTACCAGCTTCGCACTGTACGCTGCCTGCAGCCCCTCCATGACGGCACCAACCGCTCTGTGCACAGCAAGTATTGCATGGGGGACCGTCCTGAGAGCCGCCGACCTTGTAACAGAGTGCCCTGCCCAGCCCAGTGGAAAACGGGGCCCTGGAGTGAGGTGGGTGTGTCGATTCTGTGTGCATGTGTTTATGTGTAAGCATATGAAGTATATTTTCATTTGGCTTAGATATCAGGCAGGCTTTGTGTGAATTGAGAAACTCATATTTTGTAATCATTAAGTACCTGGAGATGTTAGAAAAAAAATATTTTAAAACAACGTATTTAAGATAAGCTGGTAGAGGCAAACCACAGTGGGGTGTTTTGAGACATAGCGGAGTCTAAAGATGACTGATCTAACAGCTTTGTTGACTTCACTATTCCTCTGGAGTAAATTCCAAACCCCTGGCACTGAATGCTTCATTTGGCACCTTGATAGCTCTTCTTTTTTTTTAATTGAGATATAATTGACAAACGTTTTATTATTTTCAGGTGTACAATGTAATGATTCGACATTTGTATATACCATAAGAAGTCCTACACTGACTCTTCTTACTCTTTTTTTATTCCAACTGTTTGACCCAGTTTGAATAAAACTCTTACTGTTCCAAATAGGCTCTGCCAGTTAGAGCCTCCTACCTTTCGGTAGGTTGGCCCTTCACCCTCCTCCTATCTAACCATCTCTAATCTACCAAGGCTCATCTCCACAGCCTAAGACACAACCTTCTGGACATGCCTTTCCCAAAGTCCCTCCTGTGCATTCCAAAGGCATACTGTTTATGGCAGAGTATTCTAACGCCTGTCCTTGAGTCTGTGCTTACCACTAATCCACCCACTGCTCGAGAACCATGTGCTTTACCTCCCCCGTCCCCAGCCAGTGCCTGGGGACACAATGTTTGTTTGGTGACTGGCTGACGCAGTGGTAGGATGCCTGAATTTGCCCCACGCCTTTGCTGTTTGTAAAGACTGATAATGAGGAGTCAAGGAGATGAGCTTAGAGAGGAAAGGGCATCGAAAAGCAGCTGAGGAGGAGGAAGTGGAGAGCAGGCCCAAGAAGGAAGGACAGACAAGTGAAGGTCACCCGAACAGGCCATAATGGCAATTCATGTTCCTTTCCCCTCAGAGTCCTGGAATGAGGGCCCCTCCTCAGTAGCTCCTATCTAGAACAATAGCATAGACATTTCTGAGCATAGTTTTAGAGCAGTTAGCCCCTTCATTAAAGCAGTGAATTTATGAGACTGGAGTAATAGCGGTTCCAAAGAGGTTGAATTAACCAAGGTCGCATGTCAGTAAGTGCTGCCGTCTGTAAGGAAGGTGAGAAGACGGCAAAGGCAATACCACGATCAGCTCCCTAAAAACGGGCGCCACTACTGCTTTTAGGCACTGTGCAGATAATTCACATTATAATACTAATGGCTCCTTTCAGAGCAGATATTTATTACATGCCGGCCATAATTTTTACATGCCTTGTCCCCTTTGCCTTCATTTACAATCCTGTGAGACAAGTAGTATTATTCCAGCTTTCAGAGATAAAGCACGATGCCCAGGCTGGTAAATGACAGAGCCAGAGTATAAACCTAGGTTTATCTGTCTCCAAACCCCAGGGTAAAATCACTTCCATAGAGAAACAGCGCCAGAGCTGTGTGTACACACATGTGTGTGTGTGTGTGTGCATGCGTGTGTGTGCGCACATGAGCGAAGGGAGAAAGACAGTCTTGGTGCAATAAACGCCTATAATCGCAGCCTTTGTCTCTGTAGTGTTCCGTGACCTGCGGCGATGGGACGGAGGTGAGGCAGGTCCTCTGCAGGGCTGGAGACCACTGCGACGGGGAGAAGCCCGAGTCCGTCAGAGCTTGTCAGCTGCCTCCCTGTAATGGTAGGTGGGACACTAACTGGTTTCACTGCTCCAGCAATGGTTTTTATGCATCAAAAAGCAGAATTTCCTTTCAGAACAAGTTTGGGAACTTCTGTTTGCTTATCAAAAAATAACCAAAGGAAAACAGTCTTAAAAAATTAGCCTGATATAATTCTTAAGAAAGGTGCTGGAGGCCGTGGCCAAGTCACCCTGCGCTGCAGTGCCCCGCAGCGCCGATTCGGCAGCAGTGAGCGCTGGGGTGAGAGCTGTGTTGTGTACACTTGGCGTCTGTCAATTTGTGTTTCTAGAAAGGCTGCTTCTTTTCTCTCTCTCTAATTTTCTTTCTAACCTCCCATCATTGTAAAACCATAATAGTGCAGGTTTTGAATGTTTTACTAAAATTATTCAACACAGAACGTGTGGATGAGACATGCCAGTCAGAAAGCCATTTCCAATACCTGGCACCCATTACATGCCCTCCCCCAGGGTGATTTCGGAATAGACGCCTTGCATACATGCAAAACTTTGCCTAACTTACTCTCTTGCTTTAGTGCAAGAGTAGAGTCGATTTAATTTAAAAATAGACATTGATTTGCTACTGTAAAACATAAAATAAATAAATAAATAAATATATATATATATATATATATATATATCTCTATATATATATATATAGAGATATATATATATATATCTCTATATATATATATAGGACGGTTTCAGTTTCTGGAACACTGTCTCCTTCCTTCTTTTCTGTGCGGGTTCTGTTTACACCTGGCTGTCCTCTCTGCCGGTTCAGCTGCTTCCCCTTCTTTCCCTACATACCTCTGCCTCTTCCCTCCCTGTCTGCACCCTGCTTCTCTCTTCCCCGTGTCTTCCTGACTCTCCTTTTCCACCCCCTACCATTTCTCTACCACATGTGCCTGTCTCTCTCCCCAGCCTCATACATTCTCTCTCTCTGTCCTTGCCTTATCTTCCTTCCCCCCCCCCCCCACCACAAGCTGCTTCTTAAATGCAGTTCCACTACACCTGTGCCTAATGACAGCTCTGGACACTGCTCTGATGTACTAGTGAGACTCGGGACAAGAGAAAGTTCCTTTTTGTTGGCCTACAGCATTGTAATTGAGCCATTGATTGAATATTAACATGTGCGAAAAGGTATCTTCTTTTTTCAAGAAAATTTGCAAAGCACTATTTTATCAAATGGCTAACTTTTTTGAGGAAATTTCAGGCTTCAAGTCTTTTAAACCTCATCAATTTTCATTTGAAGTGTGTAGTGGCATGAACAAGAATGACCATGAGAGGGAGACAAAGGACTTGTACCGAGTCCAGCACAAGTAACTCCCTTTTTTTATTACAAAACCTTTTTATTACAAAACCATCAGCATGTAATTCTGTAACATAACACTATCACACTCAGGCACACCATTTTAGGTGAAATATGCAAATGAAAACTATAAACTATTACAATACTATTACCCTGCCAACCACACTCTAGCAAGTGCTACTTCTGCCAGACCCTGTATATTCAGTCATTTTTCTCTGGAAAGTATATCTGAAAGCTTAATACACAAGTCAAATCCAAAAGAACAAGCTTTTTACTCTGAAGCCTGAAAGCTTAGTTACCCTAATATTCTATTCTCATGTAGGCATTACTGGCAGGAGGCTGAATAGTATGTGAGGAAGCTTTATTGATCTTAATAAGCTGATAGAGCTATCTATTTCTGCAAATATACTTAATTATTGGCAAGAATTTGTTTGATTCTCTTCCTTTATCCAAAAGAAAATGTTTTTACTGTAAAACAGAGGTGCTGATGAGAAGACATGACTATGTTAGTGATCCCACATCCTTTTAGCTGCGCTCTTGCTCCAAAACAATTTTAAGAGTTCTAAGAGGCCACGTATCTCTTCCATATATCAAGCAAGTAAGTAATACTTCCCATCAGAGTCTCAAGCTGCAATTAGGATCAAATGGCCTTTTGAGACACTGTGTAAAAGCACTTTTCCTGAACTCCTTATAATGATCTGCGCGTGGAGTGAAAAACCTAAAACGCTTCCTTAATTCTGATGATTCTGCCCTATGAACCCTGTTCTAGGCTGCATTTTGATTGTACTATTTATTGGCACTATTAAGTCCTTCCCATCTATCTCGAGGCAAATTACCATAAACCAAATGTATTCCTTTGCTTTCATTTTTTCCAGGATCTCTCTCCCTTTACCCTCTCCCATGCAGTAGCATATTCTGGCCATCGTTAGACCCAGGCTGTGAACCCGCCCCTGCAGTGCCAAGCTGCTCACACTTGGAGACAGGGGCCCCTTGCGCCATCTTCTTCAACTCTGAGAGAGTGGGCACTTTGAACTGGGCCACATAAGTTAGAAAGTTTAAAAGACTTGGGACGAAAACAAGGGTGACGGGGGTGAAGAGTCAGAAGAAAAAGAGAGTACCGGGTCAGATAAGGTCCATTATCCTAGGGCTGGAGCCTTAGACACATAGGAAGAAGAAAATAGTTTGCTTCTTAAGATACAGGCAAAGAAAAAGTCACTTAGGTATGATGACAAATTGATATTTGAGGAGAAACCCGTTAAGGTGATTTTCAGGCATTCTTACTATAATTAGAAGATTACCCTAGCTAATATAAAACACTCAAACACATCATGCTATATAATACAGCTGTGAATGTCAGGCAAATATAAGTCATTCCACAATCTGAGATGTGGGCATGGTTTTGTAACTCCAAGAGGTAATATTATAATTTCTAATACATAATAAACAAGGGAGGTATTTTTAGCCCTCCTAATGGCCTTGCCAACTGATCCTTTTTATTTTTTTTTTCAAACTTTAGAAAAGAGATTTTTTAAATGCTGTGGCAAGTTACATAACATGTTCCTTACCTAGCAATAGAGTTTTACCCAATAATACATCTAATCAAGATGTCATCTTAGCTTTTTCTTTGGTAATACATGTTTAAGATTTAATTTGTTCCAACAGGTCTCTAGTATATATTTTTATTTTACATTTAATATAGAGACTACTCCATTAGAAATACAGAAGTACAATAAAATAAACTAGATGCCTCTTTAGAGCCTAAAAATATTTGTTAACCCTATTTTCTCATTAGAAAATCAGATGAATGTTCCTAGTGGAGATATTAAAATGGTGGTCAACCCAAGTGCTTTGCATGTAAAGACCTACTTATTTCGGTGGATTCATCCTAATGCTGATATTTTTAATGCAAAGGCTCACATGGACAACTCCCATCGATGTCTGATTTTACTTAAATCTTTTTATAGTCAATTTTATTTTCTCTCCTCCTTATATTTATATGATGTACTTTTTATTAATTTTCACAGATGAGCCATGTTTGGGAGATAAATCTATATTCTGTCAAATGGAGGTGCTGGCGCGATACTGCTCCATACCAGGATACAACAAGTTATGTTGTGAGTCCTGCAGTAAGCGCAGTAGCACCCTGCCACCACCATTCCTTCCTGAAGCTGCTGAAACTCAGGATGATGTTATCTTTAACCCCAGTGACCTCGACCTCGCTGGATCTCTAATGATGCCTACATCTTTGGTTCCTTACTATTCAGAGACTCCTGCTGAGAGGAAGAAACCTTTGAGCAGGATCTCTTCAGTGGGAGGTCCAAGTGCATATGCTGCTTTCAGGCCAAACAGTAAACCTGATGGTGCTAACTTACCCCAGAGGAGTGCTCTGCACACAGGGAGTGAGGCTGTGGGACAGGGCTCCCCTGCCACCAGGAGTGGCCCCCTCACTTCATCTTCACCAATGGCTGCTTCCCCCTCCCTTGCAGCCCGTGAATCAATAGGTGCTTCTTCTCAGGCAAGAACCTCAAAGAAAGATGAAAAGATGATTGACAGGAGACATCCAATAAGCTCAACCACCTTGGAAAGATGAGAAGGTGAACCTAAAAAGCTAGAAATCAGAGGAAAGCCTGGCCAAGCTCCCTCTCCCGCGTGGTGCATATCGCTTCATTAAAGTGAAAATCTCCATTGATTGTCAACTCATTTTACCTGTAAAGGGAAGAACAGAAAGTGCTGGTTCACTTTCTAGTTTCTTTCCTCATTTTTTTTTTGTTCTACATTGACTAATTTACCAGAATTCGTTGGAAGAAAGCACCAAAGAGTATTAACAGAAGGAAAAGTAAGTTGCTAACTACATTGGTCACTTTCTAAAGCAGAAAAGGGACTGGAACCAATTGTGCATTTCGGCTTATTTTTTTGCTTTAAAAAGTTACAGTAAAAATAAAAAAGAGGCGCCAATGGTTTACACCTTAACAAAATATTTTGGAAATGGAACAAAGAATTCGTAGACTTGTATTCCTATTTATCTATATTAGAAATATTATATGAGCAAATTTGCAGCTGTTCTGTAAATACTGTATATTGCAGAAATCAGTATTATTTTAAGAGATGTGTTCTCAAATGATTGTTTACTATATTACATTTCTGGATGTTCTAGGTGCTTGTCATTGAGTATTGCCTTATTTGACATTTATGGGTTGATTTTCAAAGCAGAATATTATGAAGTAAAAGAATTGCAGCTATTGACAATACAAATGGTTTTGTTTAATCAACAGTGTAATAACCTAAATTACAGAAAAAAGAAAAAAAACATAAGCTGCAGATAAACAGATTTCAGCTGACCTGTTACCTTCCATCCTTTAATAAAAAGGAATGGGACTGTGGTCACAGGGACCAGAGACCAGTAAATGAACCCGTGCAAGAAAGAACTGAAACCCTCCTACCAGGACCTCAATAGGCACCACTGAAGTGTCCTATGTTCTTGTGTTTTTTTATTTTCCCGTAGTGGACATATCCAAGAAAAAGCATACTCAATGTACTGTAATAATAACAGGAATATGTATTGAGATAATTCGTATTGGTAGCTGAGAAAAGCATCACTGAACTAGAACCGATGCTCAAGTATAGCAAGGCTTTGGAAGCAGGTTCAAAAAAGCATTTGTCAATGGTTGCAATATTTATTGTCTGCATGGTTCACCTATCCAAATGTTCACAACCACAGTGCATCTGACTGCAATAATGTGCTAGTAATTTATGTCAGTGGTCACCTTACTCACAGTGAAGCCAGAAATGCTCTCTCCAGGGAGTAGATGTAAAGTACTTGTATATAGAATTCAGAACTGAAGATATTTATTAAAAGTTGATTTTTTTCTTGATAGTATTTTTATGTACTAAATATTTACGCTAATATCAATGACATATTTTGTTAAACTAGAGAGACATAATTAGAGATGCATGCTCTGTTCTGTGCCTAGAGGAGAAATTTAAGCAAACTACAACAGCCAATCAAAGAGCTTAAACTGAACACATTTGATGTTATGCAAACCATTGGCATTTTTAAAGTAGTTGAAACAAAGTTGATTTGTTCCCCTTCAATGAAACATAAAATATTATGAACTCAGCTAGCTTTTCATGAAATAGTGAACTAGAAACATTTTTTTAAAGTACGTGAAAGACATACATACTTCATGAATTATACTTCAAAGAAAAAAGATGTATGTCAGCATGATGTTTTTGAGGTCAGTTCCTGAACTAGGAAGATATGTTAACCTTTCAAAGCACAGAATGTGTGAGCACTTTTGCATTTTAACCATCGTAAACTAACAGCTTCACCTACGGACTCTATACCTCTAAGGAATCGCTGCTACTTTGTACGAGACTTTCAAAAGTCAAATGAATTAGGTGAATTCCAGATCACAAAACAATCCCTGAGCCTCACGTAGAAGTCATCCCCCTCCCCATATTTCCCCAGAATGAATTCTCTCTAGTTTGCTTGCATGTGTATACATCCGGTCCACAGGAGAATATAAAGATGGTCACACACATACACCTCCCACAAAGATGTACACATTCGTTACACTTCTGATCTTCAAGCTTCATTTTCTACTAAGCTAAAAATTCTTTTTTTTTTTTTATCAAAGTGTACACTACTGATGCTGTTTGTTGTATTGGGAGCACGTAGCAATAAAAATGTTAATAAAATACAGATCTGGCTCCATCTAGATTTTATCGTTAGATTCATAACTGAGTAATGAAAAAGTATTCTTTTCTCCTACAAAGTGAAATATCATCAATTCCGTTATCTATTATTGGGACTTTGTCTAAAGGGGTTAAGATAAAGTGACCGTGTCTCCAAGTTTCACATCAGGGTGTATCATATTTTAAAAATAAAATTTCTCAAAGAAAAAAAGATGCTGTAGGGTGTGGTTGAAGCTGACTTTACAGAACTAGGAAGAGGCAGAGAGAAAATGGTGATAATGCTAGTATATATAAGAAAGAAAAGGCCAAGTAGTCTTCGAATGGGTAATTCCAGACATGTTTTTAAAGAAAAGCTGCCCACCAGCTTTGAACCCCGGTCGCCTGAGGACTGGCAGGGACAGTGTGGGGAGGACTGAGACATCACGTTAGAGGGCCTTACGTTATGCAACAGGGAGACACCACCCGCAACTTCATACCTGAATGATCTTGGGTGAGCCGGCTCGACTCCCATTTCCTCATCTGTAAAATGGGAGACAGAATTGGGAAACACCATTGTGTGGTGGCTGTGAGAAATAACATGGCAAAAGCTGTCAGCACATAGTAACTCACAATTGATAGTACTGACATGCTTGCCTCGTCCCAGCCTCTCCTCCTTGTCGTCATTATGTGACCGAACCACAGCTTTCCTCTGGGGTCCACAGCTAGTTTGAATCTTGGTCATTGCGTCTCATTGATGGTAGTAAAGAACGTAGTTGTGGGAATCTAAAGACAAGAAAATGGTAGCTGTAAAAATGACTTCCAGTCATTGATTTTGAAGATTTGTAGCTGATTATGCTCGTTTTCCTTTGCGAACATTAAATGGTCAAAGGAAGGAATGATTATTAATTATATATTTCTATAAAGGTGGTCAAAGGTATAATAATTCCCCAAATTATTAGAAAAATATTTCTTATATAGTTGCATAAATACATTTTGCAGAAATAACAAGTCATTCCTCTGTAGACATTCTGTATTTTCTTCATGAAGAGGCTGCTTAAATATAAGATTAAAAATAAGTTGCAAAATGATGGAAACATAGATAAGCTATAAAAGACATAACTTGGTTAAAAAAGTGCTAAATTAAAAAAGTTAAAAAGTAAACAGTTGAAGTAAAACTGCTTAAGATGCACAGGCACTACAACACATCAATTAATATTAGAAAACACTTATTTGGGGCTCAGACACTTTCTGAATAAATAAGAGCTAGAGATACAATTGTAAAAATTAATTAAAATAATGCTTACCTAGCAAAACAATCTACTGAAATGAATTTATCAAACACAAATCCTAAAACAAAACAAGGCTCTATGAATTTCTGCAAAATCAGAGGTAGCCTGGGATCCGAATTACCCTGTATTTTCCCCCATCCTGATAGGTGGCAGGTACATAAAAAGTCACTCATCTACACTGTGGCAACACTAATGTTACTACTTTATCATTGTTGATTGGAAAGGCTGCTCTTTTTCAGCCAGTTCATACTTTCAAACAAATTACTTGACCAATTAGCTTTCAGTCATTTGATTTTTAACAATTCATCTGGGTCTGATAAATCAACTCTACCAAATACCCAAAATTACTCTGGCATTAAGAACGAAATGATTATTCACAGCCAAGTGTTACTCATATCCCAATTGTTAACATCCTGCCCTGTAGAATCACTCCAAAAGCTTAAACCAAAATAACAAAGCTGTTACACAATCCACTACTGCATAAACAGGTGATGCTAAAATTAGAAATATATCCACACAAAGAACATTTCTGTTCAAATTAGCTGTTCAGAGACTCCCATGGAGAGACTCTCGGTAGCAGTTTGAGGGAAAACAAACTTCTCCATGGTCGAACATAAAGGGACAGTAGGTCTGCTTCCTATTTCCATGCAGAAAAGACTTCTAAACTTCACAAAAAGTCACAGTGCCCTGGTTGAGAGTAGGGCACTAATGCCAGGCTGTTGGTTTAAGTGCTGGTTCTATAACCAACTGTGACTTGGCGGAATTACTTATTGTGCCTAAGCCTCAGTTATTTAATCTATAAAATGAAGATGACAATGACACATACTTCATGAGGCTGTTTTGAGCATGAAATAAGGTAATCCAGGAAAAGCAATAAACATGGGCTGACAGCCATGTGTTCAACAAAGATGTGCAATTATTTTATCTTTTATGTATGACCAACAGACCTCAAAATATTCAATTTGATTTTTTTTATTTTTTCATTGACATGGTGTCAATAGAGTTCATTCACTGTAAAGTATATATATATATTTTTTATTTCTATTAAATTTATTGTAATGATATTCATTAATAAGATTATATAGGTTTCAAGAATACAGTTCTATGATACATCACCTGTATATTGATTTTTTAAATCAAGGTCATAATTTTCAAGGAGTCCTATATGTCCAAAAGAAGTTGAAACACAAGATCCAAAGGAGAGAGTTGTGTGAACTATTGTAGCATAAGGCATTGTCATAGTCCATTTGTGTAGTGGACAATCTGGCAAATGATTCCAGAGATCAAGGGAACTGCCCTTTCTGTGGTGACATCATGCACCACAAGATATTGTCACAGACTCTCTGTCACCAAGTCCTTCTCAATGCGTAACACACTGTCTCTGGGGCCCAAGCGAGTGACTGGCTCCAGCTTTACATGCCCCACGAAGAAAGGCTCAGATATGACCTTGATAAAGCGAAGGCCATTATACCTAGGTTAGTGAGTGTTTATGTGGTCATCATAAGGAAGGGAGCAGAAGTGTGCATTTGGAGAAAGAAAATCTGAAGGCCTTTTAGTAAAGCCTATTGCACTTCCCCCTGAGCGTGTTGCAACCCCACACACTACACAGAATGTGTCCTGCTCTGCA